GCTCAGAAATACCAAAATTTTTAAGGCCTTTACAAGAATCGCAAAAAGTTGCTTTAAACGCCAAAAGCTACTCAAAAGTTGCCGAGTGCAATCGAGACAGGCCTTTACGTAGCATGCCATTTTTTTATTTTTTCTCCGAAGGCAGGTGCCGTAACCGTCATCATACTACATAAATATTTAATTTTTTTTAAAAAATTTGCTAAGCTAGCTACGCCAGCCTGCCAAACAGCCGAAACTCGCACACATCAAGAATGTCAACTCAAGCGCCGACTATGCTATGCCATGCACGAATGGGCCTCAGCGTACCGGACTCCAAAATTCGTCAGAAAGAGGTCATCTCGGGTAGATTTCCGATTACGAAAATCCGAGTTCGCCCGATGTTGTCTTCGTGATGAAGGCCCATCAGAAATCTACCCGAGATGACCTCTGGTGTTTTAATATCCTCCTTTTGACAGATTTCGTGGAGGTGTCACTATGTTGTAGTTGTGATCGGCCATCCATGAAAAGGAGGCATCGCAAAAATTTTTTGGAGTCTGTAGTATAGGTAAGCAACGGAAAAAATGCAAATATCTTAACGCTAATACGAAGACATGAGTAAAAACGAAGTACATGTTCGTTTCCACTCTATTATGCGGGTCAAAAATGCTAAATAGGGCCTTTATCACGAGCACAACATCGGCGGAGCTCGGATTTCGTAATCGAAAATCTACCCGAGATGACCTCCTTCTGACGGATTTTGGAGTCCGGTACGCTGAGACCCATTCGTGCATGGCATAGCATGACGTCATAAAATGTTCAAATGCTATGGAAACGGAGTGAATTTTGCAGTAGTTTTCGAGTTAGCGGGTGTAGTGGAGCGGCACTGACTTTAAGTGTTAAGCGAGACGTGGTAAATAGATTTGGTTTCCGACGAACTTGACGAAATGTCCCCTAACAAAGTTCTCTGGAGTGTAGTATGCGGCACCATAAGTGGCATTATCACCGCATGGCTTGTCTTCAAATTTTTGGGAGGTAAGGGATGTGGACCGAAAGGAGCGCGAGAGGAGATCGGAGAAGTGAAAGACGAACCCAATGATCTTAACAACCCTGCGGATAAGTTGCCGCAAGAAAATGATGAAAGACTTCACAAGAGGGCAGAAGAACACGAGGAGATGCGTTATTAAGGTCGGTGTTCAAACTATTATTTTAGTTGAAATGCTCCCATTATCCTCTGATAAACGCCATCAATCGTTATATAATTAGCATTTTCACAAAGTAAAACAGCAGACTGCTTTTCGTTACGTCACCGTAACGTGGCCTTAAATCGCGGTGGCCAGTTACACATAACTGAGGAAGATACTGAAACCCTAGTGATGCAATTTTTTCTTTAATTCAACAGATATAAAGAGCTGCCAAAGAAGAACGTATACCGTAGCTAGCATTTACTGTGTGGGAACTTATTGAGCGAAGAATTTTTACTAAGAGCTGATATCTCTATGCA